CTTTCCTGAATCACTTCTAGACTAAGTCAAGGTCGAACTTGTCGAGAACAAAGATCTCAAGCTTTCAGCAAGGACCGACTGAACCTTTCTATGAAGCCTGGGAACGTTTTAAGGAGTATGAACGTGATTGCCCTCACCATGGATTTCCCGGATCAAGTCTGCTGAGCACCTTTTACCAAGGTTTGCAACCAAAATACAAACTTTCGCTTGATACAGCTAGCAATGGAGATTTTGGACAAAAGACAATAGCACAAGGAAGAGCCCTCATCGAGAATTTGGCTCAAGCCAATAGCAATGATTGTCCTAAATACGATCGCTCGACGAAGCAAACCGGAACATACAACAAGGAGATAACCGAGGTGAAGAACATGATGAGCCAGATTTTAAAGAGCAACAATCGCCCAATCCATGCTTGTGAGGCCAACAATGGCGCAGAAGATGAAGGACCTATTGATATCGATCACATTAATCAAGCCTTTCAAGAAGAAGAGGTGAACTATGTAGGAGCACAAGCACCATATCCAAATCGCTTCAACAATGGCTTCAACAACAACTTCCGGAATGCAAATTACAACAATCTCTCTTACCGCAATCCAAATGTGGAGAATCCTCAAGATCAGTACTACCCACCACAGCTAAAATCCTTCCAAAACAAGTTCCAAGGTGGAAAATTCAGAGGGACAGGAGCTTATCAACCGCAAAAGCCATATAACTACCAAGGTACGGGTTTCAACAATCAATTTTTATAACAGCAAGGAGTCACGACGAACCAGCTAGCTTCACAAATCGGAAGACTTGAACAGTCCATCCAACAACTTGTTATGACGAACGAGAAAGCATCTAAAGACATGAACGTGAAGGTTGACTGCATGTACAATGACCTGAACGGGAAGTTTTAAGCTTTATCTTCGCACGTCAAAAAGCTAGCCGTACAAGTTGCCCAAACAGCCGACTCTATGAAGAAGCAAAGTGGAGCTCTTCCCGGAAGAGTTGAGGATAACCCCAAGAGGTTTTGCAATGCCATAACCACACTGCCCGAAGAAGAGGCCAGAACCGATGGAAAGAATGAAGAAAGCCCAATCTTTGTACCACTTTACAAGGATGTCGATGCCAAGCAGCCACCAATCAAGGTACCTCGACGATCACCGTTTCAAAGGCTTACAAAAGCCGATGATCCGGGACGTTTTGTTTTCCAATGTTTCATTTCAGGAATAAAGTTTACAGATTGTCTGTGCGATTCCGGAGCCATGTCAACATCATGTCAAAGACATTTGCCGAAGAATTGGGCATAGAAACCTTACGGACATCGACGGTCAAGGTTATCTTTGGAGATTCATGTCAAAAGGATACTGAAGGGGCGATTCATGATCTACAAGTTCTAGTAGGAGACAAGATTGTTCCAGCAGATTTCCAAGTCCTGGAAATGGATAAAGACAAGGAGAGGCCACTCATTTTTGGGAGATCATTTCTGGCTACCGTAGGAGCAGTAATCGATCACGCAAACCGGCATGCTGTTTTCCTCAATGTAGATTGCAGAAGGTTTTATCCGACTATCCTAGATGATTTTCCAAGCAAAGGAAGCCGGCCAAAAGAGAAAGAAAAGGAGAAGCCGAAAGCTTTTGCAAAGATCAAGATCATCATTCCACCGGATGCAACAGAAACTAGTGAGAACCAAATCCAGGAGCTGATCGAAAACACAAAAAGGGTTTTAAACAATGTTAAAGTCCAAAAGAAGAGTAAAGGAAAGAAGACAGCTCCTCAAGGAGAAGAAGTAAAACCTCCAGCGACCGGAAGTGATAAAGGCACGTCAAGTGGAGTGCCATTCTAATCAGCCTGATTCTTCATGCCTACGTCGAGCTAAACGACTTAAAACAAAAGCGCTTAATGGGAGGCAATCCATTTAGGTACTCTTTCTTTTAGTTTTCTATTCCTTTTTACAATTTATGTTTTCTTTTTCTTTTAAGTTTCAGGTATTTTATAAAACAAAAACACAAAAAATCAGAAAATTAGAAAAACCAAGAAAGAAGGATAGGTTTTTAGCTACTCGGCCCGGCAAAAACCTGAAAGTTGGACGAAGGTCGCAGGAAAAAGGGCCGCGGTCGCAACCAACCGACCCGTGACCAAGGCATCATCGACCCACGGTTTTCAAAAGATTCCTGGTATAACCTGGTGTTTCCCGTTGTTTTCCGGTGTTACCTGGTGATTCCCGGTGTTTCCCGGTGATTCCCGGTGATTCTCAGTGATTCCCGAAGTATTCCCGGTAAAGCCCGTTAAGATTTTCCGTAAGTTTTAAATTTCTCGTTGCGTACAAGACAAGACAGGTAAGTTCCCGTAAACTTTTGAATTCCCGTAAATTTCCCGTTTTCGCTACAAAAACGCTTTTTAAAGAAAGGAAATGCACTTTTTGGATCAAAAACTCCTTATCTAAAGGTGTTCTCTATCTTAACTGGTAATTTCGTGCTCTCTATGACTCTATATCTAAAGGTGTTCCCTCTCTTTCAAAGAAAAAAAAAAGAACGAATAAATGAAAGGAGAGAGGGAAACAAAAAGCCTAATTAGTCTTAGATTGTCAAAATTTTTGGAGAAAAAATCAACCACTATACGTTTAAAGAGCTATGGTTTTGAAAGATTTACAAAAATCTAAGTCTGAGGGAGTTAGGAGAGAACTTGAGGAAGAAGACCAGGAATCTATGGCAAGAAGAAAGTGACTGAAAACTGTGGATGCCAACAGCTTCACTCTCTGTTGCGGTTTTGCATAATATCCTGCATCCTCCAGATCTTCAGGTAACCAGTAAACACTTTAAGCCTTACCCCTAGAATCACCCTTTTTGACACCTAACCTAGATTGCCTTGCCTAGACTTTCTTTGATGAGAACCACCGAGATTTTTAATAAATGTTGAGAGCTAGTTGACTGAAAGTTAGATCTTAGTGCATAGATTTCCGCATGACGGATTAACAGACTAGTTATGCCCGTATTGCTAGTGAGAATTTTCTAGGCTATTCCCGATTGATGCATAATGATTGATATTGGTCTAAAAGTTTGGTCTCTGAGATTTTGTTAAGTTCCTGCGTTTTCAAACCTCTCGCCGAGATTAAGCTTTTGTTTTGTTCGCGGACAAACAAAAAACTAAGTCTGGGGGAGTTGATAACACCGGATTTTTATCATTTTTATGGATCACTTTAATGTCTTTTACATGTGTTTTTACTCCATTTTCAAAGGTTTTCAAAGGATTTCTATGTTTTCAGATTTTAAAAGACTCTTCAGGTAATTTGGGATAAAGATGCACAAATTGGAGCAAAAAGACTCTTTTGGATAAATGCAGACCGTCAGAACTCTCATGGAGAGACGAAGACCTTCTCACCATCTGATCACCCTCAAAATTGGACAACTTATAGAAGAATCAACCAGCTTTCAAATGCACTTGGTTTGGAGACATTCCAACGATTGGATCTCAAGATATTCCATTAGCCTTGGAGCCACTCGAAGACGGCCAGAATATCACACGACCGCGGCCACCAGGCTATTTCCCGTGGCCACGAGCTTCCCGACCGCGGCCAACCACCTATTTCCCGCGGTCACGTCATGCCCGACCGCGGCCGGCCAACTCTGAATTAAAGCCCATATTTCTGAACCCAAAGTCATTTCTCAGCCTCAATTCCGGAACCCTAGAGACCATGGAGTATTGAAGACACTAAATACTTGTCATTTAGGTCGTTTTTAGACACAACCCTTCATACTTTACAGAAACCCTTTTCCTTTAGCTGTTTTATGCGATTTTTGTAGAAGATTGTTCAAGTCTGAGTTCTTCAATAGAGAAGCTTTCTTTCATCTCTTTTCTTTACTGTTTTTGATTACTTTTATTAAAACCAATGATGATATCGACCTCAGCTATGTCTGAGTAGATCCCGAGTTGGGCTTAGGGTTCCCGAAAGGGGCTCTCATAATCGATTAAGACATCTAGGTTTATAGATCTGGGATTTTAACTTTGTTCTCTGTTTATTCTCGTTCTTATTGCATGTATGCTTGATTGATCACCTAGTATCTGATCAAGATAGTTAGTGTTGCGAAAATTTTCATTAATTATCAGACCTAGAATGAAACAGGCGATTTTTCCGTAGGAGTGGAAACCTACCTGCGACGAGATAGTGAGTATTGACGAGTCTTGTGCAGCTCTTGCGTTCTCTCCCTTCCAGGGCCAGAGTGGAAACCTACTGGTCAGGGTTGCGAGAAACAGTTGGTTATGATCACGACAGTGACGTAGTCATACCGCCGTACTCTAGCTCTAGAACCCTTTATTTCGATATCCGTCATTCCCAATCTATCGTCCCTAGTGTTAATACCGATTATGATCCCTGTAGAGTTCCTGAAAGCTCAGCGTTTTTAGCCATAGTTTACAAACCAATCGATTTTCACTTGCTTATTTAGATCTGCACTATAATTGTTTAGGTTCGATATTGTGCTTGCTTTACTTGCTTTTCATTCGATTTTTCTACTTGTTTTCTAGGATAGATTTATTTTCTTTCTTTCGTTTTAGTTTAATCAGTGACAAACAACCAACCTCTAAAACGAATCTAGTCTAGACAAAAAGTTAGAAATCGTAGAAGAATACCAGGCACACAAATCTCTGTGAATTCGATCTCTAAATACTACAACTGATTAGCTGTGCACTTGCGGCTTTTATTTGTTTTTGTAAGGGTAAAACTAGTTATCTCACGCAGTTGACACGCATCATAAGCCGAGAGAGGAATGCAAACCCTAACTTTCAAACTCGATGACTTGGATAAGAAGTTGAGTGAAAGCAAAAACCAATCCTACGACTACACATTAGAACTGTTGCAAGGCGTAGGAAAGGTTGTTGATAAGACTGAAGAGCTTGATTCTACTTTAGATAGAGTTGTTTATGTTCTTGATGAAGTATAAGAGAAAAATGAAAAAATTTCCAAGGATCATAAGGAGAATGATCCAACTACTGGAACCCATGATTCGGAGACCAAAGACATGCCTGACGACCACTGGAAGCAAGAGTACAACAATAGACATGAGGAGAATGAAGCATCGAGCATCACAAGCCACGAGAAGCCTACCGCGTCTACGCAAACTTCAAACGCGGCCGAGCTCACTCCCACCGCGGATGCGCAGGTCTCACCCGCGGAGGAGGCTTTTTTTTTTAAGTCCCGAGCCTTCTCATCCATTAACTGAAAGCTGTTCAGTTGAACACAGACCCTAGAGACCATTCATCAAGAAGATGAAGAGTATGGTTTGTTTGTTGTTGATGCAAACATTGGAGACCATTCATCAAGAAGTAACTCACCAGTACCTGAAGAGCCAATAACCAAGTGCATATGTAGAGAGAGACTTATTGAGTTCAACCACTTTGTGAAGACAGTCCCTCTCTACCATGGATTCTATGATATTTGGAAGCTGGGCTGTCTACTGATGTGTCCTGTGGTGAGGGTGTCAAGTTTTACCCTAAATAAAATCAATAGCCGCAAGTGCACAGCTGATCGATTGTATTACTAAGGGATCGAATCCACAAGGAAGGAGGATCTTTCCTGCAAAAGCCATCGAAAGAAATATAAAGTAAGGAAGTCTAGAACCAGACGAGTTTTGTGAAGGTTTTGGTGGTGTGTTTAAAACGTAAAAACGAATCTTAAAGAGAAAATACGGGAATTAAAATGACCTAATAACTAAACTTAACGAAAACGGGTAAAAACGAGAAAAACGGCTAAACCTAATTGCTAAGTAAAATCGATTGAAAGAGTAAAGAAACTAGACTAAAGCTTAAATGAAAATCGGTGTAAATCTATAAGTAAAGAAAGCACTGGGGTTCAGGGAAGTTTTCTCAGGGGTATGAACGATTCAAAACATTGCTATAGAGTAAATTTGATAAGATCTTAGCTTAAAATTTTCGAACTGGAGTCACGGATGTATGAATACGCCACTGTCGTGATCATAGACAACTATCTCTCTCAACCCTGATGATAACACCGTATTTTGACAACTTTTAATCATAATTATATCTTATGCAGGTGTTTTAACTCTGTTTCCAATGGTTTTTAAAATGTTTTCAATGTTTTAGAGTTTCAAAAGACTTTAGAGGAAACTTGGGCAAAAGATATGCAATTTGGAACAAATAAGCAATTTTGGATAAATGCAGGCCGTCAGAAGTATGATAAGCGATGAAGACCTTCTCACCGTCCGATCACACTCAACATTTGAGAAAACATAGAGGATCCAACCAGCCTTCTAATGCACTTGGTTTGGAGACAATCCATCAGTTAGATCTTCAGATATTCCCGATGCAAGAATGACAGAAAAATGCAGTTCTGAAAGAGAGCCATGTGCCGGGACCGCGGCCAACACCCATTTTCCTGTGGGTAGAGCCACCGCGACCGCGGAACTTGGTCGTTCACTTTCCAGACGACTTAATTAAAGCCCAGATCAATTCCTTTCGTTATTTTTGAAGCCCTAAGTGTCCAGGACCACCCCAGAAGCTATAAATACCCTCTTTAGGTCATTATAAAGCGGGGGAGACGAATAGAAACACATACTAGAGAGAGAGAGAGAGTTCGTGTGGAACCCTAGAGGCTGCCGCCGTCGATCCCGAAGAAGGAGCCGCCGCTGGAGAGCATCATCGCGCCTCCACCTGCAACTCTGTTCTTCGTTTTCTTCCTTCTTTTCTTTAGTTTCCTGCACTCTCAATTTCGTTTATCATGCTTTGTTACAATATGTTTGAGTAGTTACCCAGTTGGGTTTAAAAGGATTGTTCAAAGGGAATTTCATGTGTCTTTGCTTATGAATCGATAGATTTATGATTTATAATCTTCTAGATGTTCTTCGTTTGCCTTTAATCTTACTGCGTGATTCTTTGCTGGCAACTTAGAAGCCGATCTGATATGATATGTTGCGAAATTTTTCATTGAGTGTCTGAACTAGGGTGAAACGAGCAATTATTCTATAGGAGTGGAAACCTACCTGTAGTTGAGTTGTGAATGTTGATGAGTCTTGTTCTGTTATTGCATCTTCTCCCTTCCAGGATCAGAGTGGAAACCTACTGATCAGGGTTGCGAGAGATAGTTGTTTAGTGCTGCGAAGTAGGCTATTCATACTTCCATGCCTCGAGTTCTAGAACATACGTAGTTGATTACCTTTATCACTTGTTTAAAATCGACATAGCTTAGTCCATGAACCCCTGCGAAACCCCTTGAGCCCCAACGTTTGTCTTTCATTGCTTACAACCTTAGATTCATTCTGCTTTTATTCGCTTGTTACTTGCTTTCATTCATAACCGATTTTTACTTGCTTGCACTTGCTTTCGTTTTTATTTGCTTTTACTTGTTTAGCTTTCTAGTTTAGATTTAGTGACAACCAAAACCCAAAACCAAAACCCAAATTGTTTAGTTCTAGTCTGATTTAAGCATTGCAGTGAATTCGTACTGAAACAACAAGTCTCTGTGGATCGATACCCTAAGTACTAAAGCGCACATCTGTGCACTTGCAGACATTTAGGGGTTATAAATTTAAAACCTGAAGCTTAGTAAAACAAACCAATACCCCGTTTACAAATCGCAATCAAGTTTTTGGCGCCGTTGCCGGGGACTTTGATTTGTTTCGTTGCGAATCCCAGCTTAAATCCATTAGAACACTTGTTTACTTTTACTTTTTGTTTTGAATTTTTCAGGTTTCTCTGCAATGAGAGACCGGGAACATGTTCCCGGAACTCTTGGTGATCCACCATATCGTGTGGATGGTGATCCAAGCGATGATGACCTGACTGATGACGAGTTTGAAGAACCGATCTATGATGACAATGAGCTAATCGGATCGACTAAACGTGAAGATGATGATGAACTGATTGGAAGTTTCGATTCACTCGAGAAGTTCTTGGGAGATCGAAGAGCTATTCAACCAGCCTTACCAAAGGATGGCAAAACCGAAATCAAGGTACCCTATATCCATTTAGATCAACAAAATCAATTCTATGGTTATTCATTCAAAAACCCGATAGACCATATCGAGACGTTCGAAGAATTATGTGCAACCACTACAGAAAATGGGGATTACCACAAGTGTAGTCTTTTCCCATTCTCTTTGAGAGACAATGCCAGCAAATGGCTAATATCTTTGCCACCTGCTTCACTAAAAACGTGGGCAGCGTGTAGAACTGCTTTCCTAAATCGTTTTTATACTAGAAATCGTACGAATCTCTTAAGAAACAAGATAAGAACTTTTAAACAAAAAGAAGATGAAGATCTTTTAGATACTTGGGAAATATTTAGGGAATACCAAAGAGATTGTCCACACCATGGATATACCGAGGAATACCTGCTGGGTATCTTCTATCGAGGTATTACTCCAGAGTTACGACACTCTTTCGACACAGCAAGTAATGGAGACTTCTCAACTAGATCTGTAGAAGATGCTCATGTTTTCATCAACAATTTCGCAAACAACATCCGAAATCAAGCCACCTTTGGTAATTATGCACTTCCTGAGAAGAAAGAAGAGATCTCGGAAGTTATAAAGTGTCTCCATCACATAATGAGTCAACATGGATTGCAACAACCAAACAAGGCACACAATACGTGTAACTTTGAAGGTTGGGACAATCCAATGGTTCTTATTATCAAGAGATGATGAACACTGCAGAAGTCTACCAGATTCAAGATTTTCCATTCGTTTCTGATCACCGCGGGTCCATTCATTTGGACCACGGCAAACCATGCTTTCACCGCGGTCATGATGACGCTGACCGCGGCCAAGACCTGTTTCACCGCGGTCGCGAGCCTTCTGACCGCGGGAAACCGTCTTCCGACCTTGCCTGGAAATCACCTTCCGTACCAATCTTGGCTATTCAATCTAATCCTGTTCCACATCCTAGTTTTCCCCCTTCTGAAGCTGAAAACCTAAACAAAAGAATTCTAGAGCTTGAAAAATCTAGGTCTCAAGAGATTAGTGATCTTAGATCTGAACTAAAAACGATGCAAGAAGATTTCAATGAAAAATTTTCCACCCTCCTTAGCCTGATAATCAAAACTAATTATAAAAATTTAGAAAATTCTGAAGAGGAGCCAAGTGAAAATTCTTTCGAAAACTCAAGTGAAGCAGATCCCTCTGATCATGTGAAAGCTATCACACTTAGTAGTGGATTAGCTTACAAAGAGCCTGAATTTCCTAAAGATCCTGAAGATGAGGAAAAGGGTAAGGAAAAGGAAAAAGAAAGAATCACGAATGAAGATGTTGAAAGAGAAGTGGTAGGAGAGAAGGATGGAGAAGAAGTAAGAAAAGATTCATCCCGGGAAATCCTTGGAGAAGATCCAATTCCACCTCCACCAACTCGTGTCAATAAACCTAAACCTCCATATCCTAGAGCCTTAAGAGCCCCTAAGAAGGAGAAAGAAAAAGCTAAGCTGAAAGAGTTAATTGATCAGTTAAATGTGAGATTACCTTTCGTAGAAGCTTGTGCTATGATTCCCGCTTTGAGAAAATACATGAAGGGTATTCTAACAAATTCTTTAACTCTTGAAGAAGGCGTTATGATGATAACCCATGAATGTAGTTCTATCCTGCAAAGCCGAATCCCTGAAAAGAAAAACAATCCTGGAAGCTTCATACTTTCATGCACCATCAATGATGTAGCATTTGAGCGTGCTCTCTGTGATTTAGGATCTAGCATAAACATGATGCCTCTTTCAGTAGTAAAACGTTTAGGACACCACACTTTCCAACCCACTAAAACTTCCTTAGTATTAGCTGATCGTTCTGTTAGACAACCTATAGGTATCCTAATAGATGTTCCTGTCGAGATCGAAAAATGTTCCATACCAACTGATTTCGTAGAAAGAGAACCTAAGGATCCACGTATTCTTGGACGACCATTCTTATCTACAGCCGGAGCCATAATCAACGTTCCTGAAGGAAAAATCAACCTTCATCTAGCCGGTCTAGTTATGGAATTTGACATGAACAAAAGTTTTGATAAACCGACTTTGGATGGCAAAATTTGTTGGGTTGATGAGTTAGACGGAATTATTAAGGAAGTCTACGAAGATCTGCTTCTAGACGACCCTTTAAGTGTCATGCTTTCACCCGCAAAAGATGAACGCAATTTCCATGAAGAAATTTATAGTGAATGCACGCGTATTCTAGATAAATCCGAAACTTATAGGAAACCTCTAAACTATCTAGATCTTAAGGACCAAACAAACATTCCTACACCTCCTAAAGACATTTCTGCAGCAATTAATGATCCTTGGAGCAAGCTTAAAGCCCCTCAAGTCGAGCTTAAACCTCTTCCCGTCGGACTTTAGTACGCTTTCCTTGGACCAAATTCTACTTATCCTGTCAAAATAAACTCTGGTTTGACTGAAGAAGAAACCACTATGCTGTTGACTGAGCTGAGAAAGCATAGAAAAGCCTTAGGATATTCGCTTGATGACATACCTGAAATCTCCAGATCTTTGTATGCACAAGATAAATCTAGAGGATAATGCTAAAAACTCAATCGAAAGTCAAAGGAGACTGAACCCTAATCTCATGGATGTTGTCAAGAAGGAGATTATGAAGCTTTTAGAAGCCGGAATAATCTTTCCTATCTCAGATAGCACATGGGTTAGCCCAGTTCATGTTGTTCCGAAGAAAGGAGGAGTCACTGTCATTAAAAATGATAAAGATGAAATGATCGCTACAAGAACAGTAACTAGACATCGTATGTGCATCGATTACCGGAAACTGAATGCAGCAACTAGGAAAGATCATTTTCCACTTCCATTCATAGATCGAATGCTAGAAAGGTTAGCTAATCACCCCTACTATTGCTTCCTTGATGGATACTCCAGATTTTTCCAAATTCCTATTCGCCCGGAGGATCAAGAAAAAACGACATTTTCCTGTCCTATGGCACGTTTGCTTACAGACGTATGCCTTTTGGATTGTGTAATGCACCTGCTACCTTCCAGCGGTGCATGATGTCGATCTTTACAGAGTTTATTGAAGATTTCATGGAAGTATTCATGGATGATTTCTCCCTGTATGGATCTTCTTTTGAAAAATGCCTAGGTAACCTTGGTAAAGTTCTGCAAAGATGTGAGGATAAGCACTTAGTATTAAATTGGGAAAAATGTCACTCCATGGTACGAGACGGAATCGTGCTTGGGCACAGAATTTCGGGAAGAGGAATTGAAGTTGACAAAGCTAAAATTGAAGTCATGACAAGCCTACAACCCCCCCCCCCCCACAAACGTAAAAGGAATTCGTAGTTTCTTAGGACACGCAGGATTCTATAGGCGCTTCATAAAAGATTTTTCTCAAATAGCTAGACCTCTTACGCGTTTGCTTTGCAAGGAAACGAACTTCGAGTTTGATGATGAGTACTTAGCCGCGTTTCATAAGATCAAAGAAGCCCTTGTCTCCGCGCCAGTCGTACAAGCACCTGATTGGGAACTCTCATTCGAAATAATGTGCGATGCAAGTGACTATGCAGTCGGAGCAGTTCTTGGCCAACGAAAAGATAAGAAACTGCACGTAATCTACTACGCAAGCAGAACTCTAGACGAATCTCAATGCAATTATGCAACAACAGAGAAAGAAGCCCTTGTCTCCGCGCCAGTCGTATTTGCATTTGAGAAATTCCGTTCTTATCTCGTAGGATCTAAGGTCATAGTTCATACTGATCATGCTGCAATAAAGTATTTAATGTCTAAGAAAGACGCTAAACTTTGGTTGATAAGATGGATCCTCCTACTGCAAGAATTCGATATCGAAATTCGAGATCGGAAGGGAGAAGATAATGGAGTTGCAGACCATCTTTCACGAATTCGAGTTGAAGAAAGATAAATGACAGTTTGCCAGAAGAAAATATCTATGCAATAGATACTACCCCCACCAATGCCAATACCCCACCACCACGTCCACTAATGCGACGAGCAGATGCTTTCAACACCCCATGGTTTAGGCACATAGCGAATTACCTAGCAGCTGATGTTGAACCACCACAATTCTTTGGTTATAGGAAGAAAAAGTCTCTGAAAGACGTAAGACATTATTTTTGGGATGAACCCTATCTCTATAAGAGATGTGCTGATGGGTTCTTCCGAAGATGCGTGGCTGAAGAAGAGATGGAAGGAATTTTATTTGGATGCCATAGCTCGTCTTACGCAGGACATTTCGCAACCTTCAAAACTGCTTCAAAAATCTTGCAAGCAGGTTTTTGGTGGCCTACTTTGTTCAAAGATACCTAAGCTTATATATCGCGATGCGATAAATGCCAAAGGATGGGTAACATAAGCAAAAGGAATGAGATGCCTCAAAATTTTATTCTCGAAGTCAAAATTTTCGATGTCTGGGGAATAGATTTTATGGGACCCTTTCCTACTTCTTTTGGAAACCAATATATCTTAGTAGCAGTAGACTACATCTCTAAGTGGGTTGAAGCAGTCGCTAGTCCCACTAATGATGCAAAAGTTGTCATGAAGCTGTTTAAATCTGTGATATTCCCGCGTTTTGGAGTTCCTAAAATTGTGATAAGCGACGGAGGATCACACTTCATCAACAGAGTTTTCGAAAATCTTCTTAGAAAGAATGGAGTCACACATAAAGTTGCTTCTCCATACCATCCCCAAACCAGCGATCAAGTAGAAATCTCAAACAGAGAAATCAAGTCGATTTTGCAGAAAAACTGCAGTTCATCGCAAGGATTGGTCTACAAAGCTTGACGACGCATTATGGGCATATCGAACAGCATTCAAGACACCATTAGGAACAACACCGTTCAACCTAGTTTACGGAAAAGCATGTCACCTTCCAGTAGAACTAGAATATAAGGCGCAATGGGCTATCAAAGAGATGAACATGAACCTGAAAAGAGCTGGAGAAAGAAGACTACTTCAACTTCACGAGTTAGAAGAAACCAGACACAGTGCTTACGAAAACTCGAAGATCTACAAGGAGAACACTAAAGCATATCATGATAAGAAGATTATTCATAGAACTTTTGCTCCTAACGATAAAGTTCTTCTTTTCAATTCTCGTCTTAAGCTTTTTCCAGGAAAATTACGTTCAAGATGGTCCGGACCCTTCACGATAAAGGAAGTCAAGCCATACGGAGCCATTGTCCTGTGGGACAAAACCGGAAATTCATTTACAGTGAATGGACAGCGTGTAAAGCCATATCTGGCTGAAGAAAGAGAAGACGAGAGAGAAGTGATGTTTTTGATTAATCCATCATCGGCCAATGATGAGATCAAGGAGTGTCATGACCCCGGTTAAGTCTAATCGAGCAACAATGTCAAGCTAATGACTTGAAACAAGCGCTTAGTGGGAGGCAACCCACTTGGTATTTTATCTATTTCCCTTTGACCTTTATTTTCTATTTCCATTGCTTTGTTTCTGTTTCATTAAATTTCAGGTTTTCAATAAGGAAGAACAAAAAAAAAAAGACGAGCAGTACTCTCCACCACGATAAGTTCACTTAAACATTTCAACTTTTCTATTTTCTTTACCATTCTTTCCAATATTTATCACACTGAGGACAGTGTGAGATAAGTCTGGGGGAGGATGTTCATCCGTCACTAATGAAATTTGATTTGTTTTGAGTTTGTTTTGGACACATAAAATGTTTTTCAAAAATCGTTTTCAAAATGTTTTTCAAACATTTTTCAAACCAGGAACACAATAAACATTACTATGATGAATTAGACCAGTGTACTTCTACGCTATTTCCTTGAAGGCCTCATCCCTTAGACTCTCTATATAAAAAAAAACGAAAAAGAAAAGAAAAATAAGAAGGGAAAGGAAATTTAAAACCTAAGAGAGTCTAGGAGGATCGGATTTTATACTTGAAGCAAGCTTGATTTCGATTATTTGGAGTTTTGGAGATTATCTTTATGATTCCCGGAAAAGATATAAGTCTGGGCGAACAGCTGTTTACAACAAAGGAGGAAGATTATACAGCAACATTTGGCAAAGGAGAAGTGACTGAAAATCTGTGGTCATTGATATATTCATAATTTGTCATATTTAGGATTGCATTTTTGTCCAAAGATTAAGTCTCATGCATACATTTAGCTAGTTTTGTTAGAGTTTGTCCTTGGTTCTAGCTTTGTCTAGGATTTGCATTAGGTCCTAGAGTGTCCTGCATTTTTGGAGTGTTCTCAGGTCATTTGGAGACTTTTTGGAGAAACTTGGAGCTTAGATCATGGAGGAACCTTCACCTGTGTGCAACAACTCGGACAGATGGTTTGGCGCAGACAAAGCCCTCACTTTGATCGCGTGGGACGAAGGACTTGCAATGCGATTCACCTTCCGGAGTCTTCATCAAAAATGAAGAGGGTCTAGTCTAGTTTCCATAACACTTGAGATCGTCTTATTTTGAGTTGTGAGCTGAAAGGTACGGCGATCGGACGCAGTGCATTTCTCGGAGCTGATAAAAGACCAAAGCAACGCGCGTCAAAGAACTGGCGGAACGGAGCCTTTGCCGACGTCACCTGAGCTAGAGCCCTTCACCAAAGTTGAAGAAGTCTGGTCTTCTGTCCACTGAAACTGGAATCACACCATTTGGACCAATATCCTGGAAGCTACTCTCCCATGAATGTGAAGTTGTCCGAGGAGCCCTGAATGCTGCGAGATTGATAACCCATATTAAGGCCTTGAAATTATGCTAAGGGAAGGATGGCACGGTGGAAGGCCACGGTCCATATCTGACCGTGGCATTTGATTGCATTTCTTCGGGGTTTGACACGGTCTCCACATGACGGTCTACACTTGACCGTGTCAAGATAGACTTGGTCGCGGCATGATCTTACTTGCATTCGGGAATTGCCACGAGGTAATGCCACGGTCTACACTTGACCGTGGCAAGACAACACTCATGATCCTTCAGACGTTCGGGACTTGACACGGCCACACGCCACGGCTTGAGACTTGGCCGTGGCAACTTTATGCAATCCTTCGGCTCTTGACACGGCCACACGCCACGGCTTGAGATTTAGCCGTGGCAACTTTATGCAATCCTTCGGCGTTTGACATGGCCATGCATCACGACCAGAGGGAGCCCGTGGCACCAAGATCCGTCCAAGAACAGAAGCTTCGGGTTTTAACACGGTCACATGCCACGGTTCGTCCAAGACCTGCTAGACCGTGGCAAACCTCACCTTTACCTACCAAAGCCGGGTCAGTACCCGGTTTGTTCCGGGCTGACCCGGTTCGTTTTTAGAGAACTATATATAGATTTTAGGGTTTTTCTCCAAAGGACTTATGCTTTATTCCCTTTTGTCTCTTGCCTCTTTTGTGAAAGACTCCACTTAAGAAGAGAAATATCGATTTTTAAGTGTTTAATCAAGAGAGTTTGAGAGATCTTTGTGTTTAAAGCTGTTTTCTTCTTAATCTATCATCTCCATCTCCATTTCTCATCATTAATCATGCTAATCTTCTCAACTTGCAAAGGTTTAAGAGAGATTAGTATGATTAGTGAGTAGTCACCTTAATGGGATTCTAGATGTGTAGGTTAGGGTGCTAAAGTGTTAGATTAGGAGTGCTTAGGGCTAGATTCATTGATTCATCTCTCTAAACAGCTGTTCTCTAGGCTAGATCCTTGCATATCACTTGAGATCTAGATTCTGGGAATTTCATGCACCAAGAGCTGAATTCCTGAAAGAGCTGTATTAGAGGTTTAAGCATTTGCTGCATGATGATGTATTGTTATTTGCTTGAATGATCATTTAGAACTGTTTATTAATGCATACTGATTCATATTTCACAAATGATGATTTGGTTTGAAAATGGATTAGTGTAGGGGTTAATACCTTCATGAGAGGATTAATCTAGATTAGAGATCTTAATCATTTGAATAATGTCTCATCATTGTCATTAGCATTCCTAGTTTAGCACCAAAGCACCCTAGCCAACTATCATGTCTAGAATCTCATGCCTCCATCATTTCATAATCATATCACTTGTCATTACTTAGTTCTTGTTTTATCACTTCTTTAGTCATTAATCTTGTTTCAAGTATTTTGCTATCATTAATCAATCAAAATCTCAATTGTTCACTTGAATTGAGAAACTGATCACATAGCTTAGTGTCTATCACCACATTCTTGGATTGACAACCTCTTTTATGCTACTTTGACAAGGGGATTGATAGCCCTGAGACAAAGAAAGATGCTAAGCCAAGACTATTGAGATGGGTTCTTCTACTTCAGGAGTTTGATATGGAAGTACAGGACAAAAAGGGTATAGAGAATGGAGTTGCAGACCATCTCTCTAGGTTGAGAGTAGACTCTGAAGTCCCTCTTAATGACAGTCTTCTTGAGGAATCATTGATGGTGCTCCACTCTTATTTGGAGTTGGAAGAAGTGGATAGCATCCAAGAAAAGAGAATGTCCTGGTTTGCTGATATTGTGAACTTTCTTGCTTGTGGAGTGGAACCACCTGAACTTGATCCTTACCACAAGAAGAAGTTCTTCAGAGATGTCCAAAGATACCATTGGGATGAGCCCTACTTGTATGTCCTGAACAAAGATCAGCTGTATAGAAGGTGTCTTGCTGAGGAGGAGATGCCACATGTGTTGCAAGAATGTCATGGTTCAGCTTTTGGGGGTCACATGGGAGCATTCAAGACTGTGACCAAGGTTCTTCAGAGTGGGTTTTGGTGGCCCACAATGTTCAAAGATGCTCAGCTAGTTGTTTCATCATGTGATGCTTGTCAGAGGCATGGGAACATATCAAAGAGGAGTGAGATGCCTCAAAATCCAATTCTAGAGGTTGAAATCTTTGATTGCTGGGGAGTTGAATTCATGGGGCCTTTCATTTCATCTTATGGGAATCAGTATATACTAGTTGCTGTGGACTATGTATCCAAATGGGTTAAGGCCATTGCTTCCCCTACCAATGATTCCAAGGTAGTGGTGAAGTTGTTCAAGAACATTATCTTCCCAAGATTTAGAGTACCCAGGGTTGTCATTTCTGATGGAGGATCTCATTTTGTGAACAAGACTTTGGAAGGATTGCTGAGAAAGCATGGAGTGAAACACAAGGTAGCTACTCCTTATCATCCTCAAACTAGTGGCCAGGTTGAAGTATCTAGTAACAGATCAAGGCCATTCTTGAGAGGACTGTTAGCTCAAGCAGAAAAGATTGGAGCAAAAGGCTAGATGATGCATTGTGGGCTTATAGAACTGCCTTTAAAACTCCAATTGGGACATCACCTTTCAATCTGTTATATGGGAAGAGCTGCCACCTTCCTGTTGAGCTGGAGTACAAGGCTTTGTGGGCTGTGAAGTTGGTGAACTTTGATATCAAGACAGCACAAGAGAAACGGGTCATGCAACTCCATGAACTTGAAGAGATCAGGCTTGGGGCTTTTGAGAGCTCCAAGATTTATAAAGAAAAGACCAAGGCTCTGCATGACCAAAAGATTCTGAAAAGGGAGTTCAAGGAAGGTGATCTAGTGATGCTGTTCAACTTTAGGCTTAAGTTGTTTCCTGGAAAACTTAAGTCTAGATGGTCTGGTCCCTTTAAAGTTCTTGAGGTCAGGCCATATGGAGCTGTTGTGTTAGAAGGCAAGAATGGTCAAGAGTTTGTGGTAAATTTCCAAAGGATCAAGCATTACCTGGTCTCACAAAGGAAGGAGGAAGCTACAACAGTTCCCCTTCTTGATCCACCACCAGCCTGGTAAACAGGTTTCCAAAGTCAAACTTAGAGACTTTAAACAAAGTGCTCTTGGGAGATACCCCAAGCTTAAATTTTGTAAATATGCTTTTAATCTTTTTCTTTCTTTCTTTTTTATGTTTTAGGATGTTTTGATGGGATCTTGGAAAGTGAATGCAAGTTGAAAAAGAATGAGGGAGTGGGCAAAGGTTTATGTTCGGCCCTGAGCATGGTAGCCTGCCACGGTCCAATTTCAACCGTGGCAAGCTTTTTAGTTAAGTCACGGTAGAGGAATCACGATTAGAAGTGTGACCGTGGCAAGAAGACACATCTTTCGGCGTTTGCCACGGTCAAGAGACACGGGACTGATGCCGGCCGCGGCAATCAAGAGATGAAGGAACCATGCATTCGGTGCTTGACACGATGAGTTTGCCACGAGGAGAAGGCTTGGCCATGGCACATGTTGGAAAAGAAGCAGATCTTCGGGGTTTGCCACAGTCAGTTGACATGGGACGCTCCAGACCGCGGCAGAAACAAGGAAACTCTTGGTGTTTGACACGGTCACGTGCCACGGTCAACAAGGCGCGGCAAAGAATTTTGAAAAGTCTTGACCGTACGGACGTTGACCGGTCAAAGACGCGCCCTTTACAGCTGTTCCCCACCATGGTCTTCTTCCTCACACGAGTTTGCCTCATTCTCCTCATTTCTTGAACTTACAACACTCATATATCTCTAGTTCTTGAACCAAATTGAGGAATTCCAACTGCATTGAACTCGTATTCCTGTCTAGTTTCTTGCTGCACATTCGTTTTTCACTCGAACTTTGAAGATTCCAAGGTATTTTTGTCTGTTAAAACTCACCTTTTCCATGTCTTGATGTACTGTTCATGAACAAGAAACACATGGAATCGATTTTAATAGGCCGCTTGATACCTTGGAATCATTTTGTGAATGTTGTGCAAGTAGAATGGATAGGAAATACATGGATCTTGCTTGAGAATGACCTGTTCTTGGAATTTTTGAGAAATCTCTTTAAATTCATCAACTATTTTGATTTTTTTTCTAGAAATTGTGTTTCAAGCTGAACTCTTTGTGTGCATTGCTTCTTGCCATTGCCTTGGGTTTATTGAGTTTTTAACCAGCTAAAGACACGTTCTTTTCTAGTGAGATCGATCTGTGCCACCCTGTACTTGGTGAATTTTTGGAAATCTTTTGTTGTTCTCTTGCCTTGGTGCTCACAGCTGTTTGAGAAAATGCAGGATGGGAGGAACAAAAAGAACAGCAGCCATGGAGAAATCGAAAAAAGAGAGAGCTGGAGCTTCAGAGGATCAGATTCTACCTTTTGGGCATAAAGTTGTTAAGAAACAGAAGAAGCAAAGAAAGCCAAAGAATCCAGCTGAGAAGAAAGTAAAGGATGTGGCTGCACCAAAGAAAACCAAAGCTTCTACTTCAAGGAATTCTGGTAAAGAACTGGCGCTGGTTGAAGCTGTTCAAAGGAAAGGAAAAGAGGTGGCTGTGGCTGAGGATGAAGATGAAACATAGAGTGATCCTGAAGTAGCATTGCAGCCGATTAAGAAAGCAAAGACAAAACCAGAACCAGAAGACAAAGAACCAACTTTTGATGACTACTTTGCTATGTTCAAGGATGTAAAGGTGTTGCAAACCAAGTTCCCTGATATGGAGCTGCTGAAAAAGATGGGGCTTCTTGAAGAGGTTCAGCTCATTTTTAACAACATGGGATTTGCTGGATTCTTTGAGATGAAAGATGTGGCTCATGATGGTGTAACACAAGAGTTCCTTGCATCCCTTGAAGTTTGTGGATATGGCCCCAGAGATCAGAGGATCAAAGAGGGAAATGGTCTTGGGCACATAGAGTTCACAGTCAATGGTACACAATACCATGTAAGCTTCAAGGAACTAGATGAGATCTTTTCCTTTGAAAGACATGCACAGGATAAGACACTGAAGTTCACATACCCTGATCACATGATTACTGACCTGTGGGATACAAGAGTTCATGGATAAGAAACCCAACCATCCGCTATGCTCACAAAGTGCTTTGCCAAATGTTTTTTACCAAACACAATGATGGTGTAGTGCATCTAGCTGACATGGAGCTACTGGATATGGGTCTACATCCTCTCTTCAGTCATTTTAAGAGCAAGAGAGAATTTCATCTCCCACACTACATCCCTTCTGGTGGTGCATTCTTGGCACGCCATATGCTGATATACAAAGACATTGCTTGGAGTGAGGGTAAAAGACAGAAGCTCACTAAGTTGCACAATGGATGGTTAGTGACAAAGATTCTGAAAGCAAGAGGTTTTGTCTTTTATGATGTTGAGGTCAAGCCTGAGTTGATTGATGAAGCTACCCTCACCAAGGTTGGGTTTTTAACAGACAGCAATGGTGAAAACTTCTTGTACACCTTCAAGCTCTTACAAAATGAGAAGGTCCAAGTTCTGTTGCCACACCCAGCCATCACCACTCTCACAGAAAGGCACAATGTCTCCTTTACTGTTCTAAAGGATCAGCTCTACAACCCAGCCATTGACCCTCCAATTCGCAAATGCAAGAGGACTGCAGGATCCAAGGGTAAAGAGCCAGTTGAAGAGCAGAGCACAGCTAGAGCTGCCGGTTGTGAGAATGAGGAGCCAAGAGATTTGAAAGAAGGATGGGAGCAGGCCAGTACCATTTTGATCCTTATTTTTGGGGTGAACCTGAGTATCACACAAAGAAGCTGTATTCACGAGTTAACAGCCTTCAGAAATGGTGCAAATGGCAAGACAAAACGATCCACAAGCTAGTTGACTGTGTTAGGCAACTAAAGAAGAAGGTGAAGAAACTCACAGCTCCAGCCACCTCACCCAAACGAGATACAAGAGAAGAGGTGGGAGAAAGCTCAGCAGATCAAGGCCTTGTGTTCCCACCAGGAAAAGAAGACTGGATCAACCCGGCCACAGCGTTCCTACCAGACTCACCTGAGAGCAGCCCACCTAGATACTCAACTCCATCCTGCTCAACCTCCAATCCATCCCATTATCTGGGATCCGACCTCAGTGATTGAGGTAAACACTCCATCTTTGTAAATATGCATATAACTTAGCTTATTTTCTCTTTGCATTTTGTGATTTTGCTTTGCACTTCTCCTTCATGCTTTTATAACACAAGGGACTGTGTTATTTAAGTGTGGGGGAGGAGTTTTGTGTTTACTAATCATGTTTATTCTGCTCTTATTTTCTTTTTCACTTTGAGTCTCATTTTGCATTCATCTAAGTGCATTAAAAAAAAAATAGCTCATGTAGTTGCATTCACATTTTAGGTTGAGTCTAGTTTGCATTTTCATATAGGTTGCATCATATGCAAATGGGAGTAATGATAGATTTTTTTTTCTTGAAGAGAGCATCATTTTAAGAACTTGGTCCCTTAAGGCATTGCAAAACTGGTATGAAATCAAGTGTGAACCATGCTTTGGACTGGTGTCTCAATACTTTTGTGCTAGCTGAATCAAGTTGTGAATAGCCTCAACCTTGCTTAAGTGAGAACCCGTGAATTTGACATCTAATTATCATGTTTGTGCATATCATTGTGAATTCATGGGTACCATATACATATTTGAGCTTTCTTATCCTTTTTATCATTCTTGCTAGCTCAAATAGCTGATCTCTCATCTTGAGACAGTTCCCTGCCTTTAGCCAAACCTTTCTTTGAAGCCTAAACACCCTTCTTGTGTGCATGATTTGTGAGGCCTTGTTTCTAGTAGACTTGGTAAAAAGTGTTGGGTTTAGAGCGACAAAGATAGTGCTGCATGTAGATACTAGTCCAACATCAAGGGCTAGTCTAGGTTTAGGTGAAAGTGAGGGCATTGGTTTTGAGTGTGTGAGCTGAAAAGAAAAAAAAAATATGAGTGATGAAAGTGGAAAGAACTAGATTGGTTAGGGGAATGAATACTTAAATGAAAGAAAGTGAGTGTGTGCCGAAATGTAAAGCTCATGTGTTGAAATGAAAAGAGTCTCATAAAAAAAAAAAGAGAAAAGATTCAAAAAGAGGCTGGATTAAAGAAGAGCTTGTGTGTTAAAGGAAAAGAAACTCACTAAGTGGTTGTTAAAGAAAGCATTCCCCTAAGAAATGAAATGAAGAGAGTGATGAGAGCTGATTGAGTGTCAAGGGTAAAATGCCATTTGGGGTGAGTAGACTAGAGAAATAATCTTGAGAGGTTTAAAGTTGAGTGTGAAAAGCATTTTGGGTGTGGGGTAGATGTAGTTCTATCTTTGTATGCATCCATTGCTTTTTACCCTTAGCATTTTACTAAAGTCTACTAATTTTTGAGTGATCCCCTTGCATGGAGTACCAGTTACTTGATTGAGATCATTTTAATCTCAAGACCCAGTCCCAAGCCAAATGAATTCACTTGATTTGCATGAACATGATCCACTTGATACTTTAAATGAATGTCAAAAGGTTGAGGTTAGGAATGCTTGTGAACGTTGGTGCTTGAGTTTGGTTCATTTGGTGACAAGTATGGCTAATTTTTATGAGTAAACCAGTTTGCATTGCAGCGTAGAATTGATGACTTGAATAATGAGCTTTAAATTTTTTTAATGATGATCTCTCTTTAAAGAAATATGAACTCCCATGCATTCAACCTCTCTCTCTCATTTGTTCTTTTTTGCTTGAGGACAAGCAAAGGACAAGTGTGGGGGAGTTGATATATTCATCATATTTAGGATTGCATTTTTGTCCAAAGATTGAGTCTCATGCATACATTTAGCTAGTTTTGTTAGAGT